TTCTATTTTACAAATCAGTTGTGGAAATAGTTATCAGTTACATAGTAATATCATACGATTTATTTAAGAGAACATATTATAATTACATAATTTTAATTCCTAAGTGATTTATTTGAAAATATAAAATCAATCAATCAAACAAATATTTTAACAATTAAATTACTGAAGAACGTGATCCAATGATAAATTCAAACAAAACTAAAAATAATAAACATTTTTTAAATGTGCAACAAATATAAGACATTCGATATTTAAGCACCGTTTCGAATAATTTTCGATTTTATTTATAGCATATATTATATATTACATAAATGATGCATGTAAACAAATCAAATAACGACTATATATATATATATATATATATATATATATATATATATATATATAAATGCGTGTATATGTATGTATGTATAGAAATTAACCACAATTCTACAAATAAATAAAAACCTTAAGCCATCAGAGTTCCAGAATACAAAATCCCATTTCAAAATATCAATGGCGAATATAAAGAATAATAAAAAACCAACGTTAAAAAACAAAAAAATAAAATGTAAAAAATAGCCAAGTGAAACTTAGGACCGATAAGTGGGGTTAAACTAGTTTGATGGCGCCAATCTCCCTTCTATTGCAATTTGATAAACCAATCTAGAAATATGCAAAAATTCTCAAAAATTTAAAAAAGGACTTGAAAAATTGAACTATTCGCTAACTCATTCTGAAAAAGATATTATATCATAAAAATATTAAAATTCTTAAAGAGCTAAGTACACAATATAACTGAACCAATAAACTCCATAGATAATGCACCCATCTTTAAAATGGAAATACAAAAAATCACTAAAATCTCTAAAATTTGAAAGTTTTATATAATTATTAGAACCCAGTATATTCATTTATAAATACCTCAAAACACCAACATACAAATATCCTGAAGAGCTGAATATGCTACAAATCCTTATTGCACAAATAATCAAAAACTCATCTAAGAGCATCTCAACAAGGCATCAAATTGAAAAATGTTCTAAAATTTCTGATTCCTGCAGCACACACAATTCCTACGTTACTCACAACTCCTACAGTCTCCACGTAAATCTAAAGATCCAAATCCTCAAATCAGAATTTAAGTCCTTGATATTAAATTCAAGCCAGAGTTTATGCAAAAAGGTTTATGTTTGGTCATTAAAAATTTTAAAAATATAGATTTGCAAATATTAGTCTATGTGTGCACCAAAATGTAAATTGTGTGTGGAATATACATATTATTCACAGTTGGATCACTAACAAGCTGACTTTGTGGACCTAATGTTGTGTGGTGCATTTGTACATGTCGTAAAGTTGTATTGTGGAACCCTTCGTAATTTGCCAATTTTATGATTATTATTTTTTTTACAGACCTTTGAAGATTTTTAACTATACATATACATAGCCGCCCAGCCAGTATGGTGGATATGACCATCGGCTTGTAACCGAGTGGGTTCGGATTCGAATCCTGAGAAAGGCATGGTTGTATCTTCTTCGGGAAAAGAAGTCGAACTTTCGCCTGTTATGGATTCCCGTCGCGAACGGAAAGCAGTCCACCTCTTCTGTTATATGCTGGGATCATCATTATTTGTAATAAATGTTTATATTCTTCTGTTTGTGTATTGTATGTTTCTGTTCTTCCACTTGTATTTCATATGTATCCCAGGATAAAAGAACACGACAGCTATATATATATATATATATATATATATATATATATATATAAATATATATATATATATAAATATATATATGTATATATATATATATATATATATATATATATATATATATATATATATATATATATATATATAACATACTATTTATATTCAACTGCCCATAAATTACGAGATTGTGATTCAGGTAATTCATTAGCTTGTGGCAAATGCAAATGACATAAATATAAATTTAAAATATTACAAAGGAATTTTAATTAACTTTAAAATATGTGATTTGGAATCAAAAATTTTCATTGGATTCATAATAATAATAAATAATGCATTCTAGATTAAATTATATTTCAAGTGGAAATTTTAAAATAGAATCTTATGTTTTCGTTTTTATATAAATAAAGCATTTGACAATATAAAGATACAAATTGAATTGATAGAACAATTCATTAGTGATTAAATTAGTTTTTTATTTTCCTCTCTTCTGTGAAACAAATCATTTATAAAGATAAAATCACCAAATAAATGTTTTCTCTAGATAACTAATTTCATAATTTTAATATAATTCGAAATCTTTAAAGAATTCAAGAATATTTAATAGCAAATAGAATATAAATATTCATTTCATTTTATGAATATTAATATTTATAAACTTTCTGAGTTCTAAAAAGAGAATAATATGAAACTGGGGATTAAATTTAGAAAGTTAGTAATTAGATCTAAATTAAAAATAGGCAATCAGCATCGTTTTAATTTTACTGTGAAAATAATGACATTTCTATTTTCATCCATTGACTGTACATAGAAATGGTGAAAGTATTAACTGATGAATTGACAATGATCGAACAAAGTAACGTAGAAGAAAAACGTAAGTGAAAATATAGGATAGAATTTCCGGTAATCAAGCAAATCTACGTTTTAAGTACCGTAAAATCCGGCGTATAACGCGCACTTTGAATACAAAAAATAAGATCGAAGTTAAGGAGTGCGCGTTATACGCCAGATATGAAAATGAGGACTTTTAAAATAAAGAAACAGATGAGCGTAAAGTAAAATTACACATCTATGTTGTATATCGAAATATGTTTATTAAAAAGAAAATATATTCTTTATGAACTTAAAGGACTGTTGTTCCATAAGTGTACCATTTTTTTCTAAAGATTTTGGAATAATACCTTGAATAAATGACTTCAAAACACAAGAGCATTGCATACGTGCGTTTCAGGAATCTTTGTCAAAAGGGGTTGCGCGTTATACGGAGAATATATATAAAAATCAAAAACTGCGCAGCTTGAAAGTATAGGTGCGCGCTATACGGTTATTGTTATTTTTTTCATTCGTTTGGCATACGTTGAACTAGCAAGAATTAAATTTATAACAAAGTGGAAATGCCAGATTCCTTCTGGTATGGAATATTTATACACAGTAGAAATTGTTTTTGTGCCGTCTTTTTTAATGCGATTTTATTTTTGTGCGATTTTTATGGTCGATCTTTTTTTTTTCAGTGTATGAATTTCAATGGGTTTGGTGTCACTGTAATGTTTTGGTATCCATAAACCAGTGATGTAACGGAGAATGTTAGGACCCCCTCCTGAAAGTTAGGTTTTGCTTTTAATATTTTATAAATTGGGTTGTTGTGGTTGTCGTGTCCATCCCGAAGGGAATGAATGAATGTTGCCAGAGCCTGAGACTGGTTGGACTTCTTTACGATAGATGGCGACTCCACCTTTCTCCACCTCCACTATTTAGGTATGGAACAGAAAGGGAGGGAAATATTCTCCAGTCCCCTGCACTTGTGGTTTCTGCTTTAAATTGGGTAAATACGTATTTAGCGTCAGTCAGGCCTTGGACCCCTAGAGTCCTACCCCTTCCCCCCTCGTGATGCAGGGGTATACGTTACGCCACTGAAATGCAGACACTTCAAGACGCTCTATTCATTTGTTATAAACAATCTTCCGACAGTACGCATTCAGTTGCTTTTTCTCAACACTCCAGCAACCAGCGCCTGATTGAAGACAAAACTTTCAATGACAATGACATTATCAATAATTTGATAGATTATGAAGACGGACCAGAAGAACCGGATTCTTTGAGAGCGGATAAAAATATGCAGGGATCTAGCTTTCCAACAAATTGGAAAAGCATTTTCTTAAAAAAAGATACCAATTAAGAAAGGAGTATAAAATTCCAAAAAGAGCTTCAATCATATAGATCTGGTTATCATGACATTTACAAGCAACTGACTACCCGACCTTCGTCGCAAAAACTTATCTCTTACTTTATGTTGCCAAAAAACAAATCAATTGAAATTGTACCTTCAAGTGACGAAAACGATTTTGAACTTATTCATCACAGGGCTTTGAATTACGATAAGTAGCAATGAATTATGTATGTGCATTTTGAAAATTTATCCGTGTATACACAATGAGAAACTATATGTTTTAAAAATGTTTCCATGTGTAATATTTAATTATTTATTTTTTTTGGAAGTACTCTTACATAAATTTCGTAAATAACATAACATGTATATATATATAATAACATTTATGTTGATTTTTATTAATATCGCACTTGAAGTCACTGCCAAGGAGAGTACGATTGGCGCGCGCGACGGACTTCATATCTTGACTCCCAATTAAATGAAGAGAGTGGCACTTCAAATGAAACATCACTTTCTAAACTGCCATACTACACCAACATAATTATTTGAGGTCTAGGAGTTTAAACTTACAGCTATTTTTCTACGCGACAGATCTTTAGAAGAACCTCGAACTTGATAAAAATATAATAAACCATAAACTCACCACTCCCTTGATTTTTGGCGGCATTGAAACATGAAACGGAAATAAGTAGAGAAAGATATGGTGAAAAACAATGGGATATACTTATGTTGAAAGTTAATTAGTAAAAGCAAATAAATTTTACCATATTTTTACTTCAAACTCTCTGAAATCAAATTTTGTGTTTCAATTGATTATTCCTTTAATGCTCCCATTACATTTTTATTTGACTTTAAATTGAGCAAGTATTATAAAAAAAATTAAGTCACAACTCCTACTTAGGTCAACAAAGAAAAACTTTATTTTAGTTACTTTTTATTAAATAGTTAGAATGAATATAAATATGTATATACATATGACAGAATTACAATATTAAGTGGCAAAATAGAAAGCGATTTTCTATTTTCCTTTCTATATATGGTGTTGGACTATATTTTTGTTTGTTACTATTTTTATTCATTCATTAAATTTAATTATTTCAATTCAATAGTAAAATTTTAAAAAATCACATTCTCAGAAATTAGCCCATCCCAGGTGGTAATTGAACCCATGACCTTTGGATTAGAAGTTCAACGTGCAATCCATTGCACTACAGGGACACAACGAGCGGTTTTTCTTTTTATATATGGTATTGGATTATTATTTTTGTCTGTTACTATTTATTCTATAATTGAAAAAATAATTAATAAATACTTGAAAAACTGTATTAACATCAAGTGTCCTCCACTACAAGTTTAAAAAAGCGCATTTGAACTTGGCTGGATGAAAAAAAAGTATTTTATTAACGATTGAAAATTTGAACAAGATATTATAGGGAAAATATATATATAGGGAGGGTGAAAACTATATATAATAGTAGAAATTGAAAATCTCTCTAAATTTCTCTGTATTACTTCTGAACATTTTAAAAATGCAGTCGAAGCATACCTATAAGTTTCCGAGTATTAATTTTCGTTCATACTGTAACAAACAAGACACACACACAACTTGAAATTGTGAACCAATTTTGCTACGTAATATTTTAACACAGAGGCTTCCAAAAAAAAAGTTCTGTCCTGAAAACAAAATACTCCTTTGCCAAGTAATTTCGTATCCTATTTGACATCATTTGCTGTTTTAAGAACGCGTTCTAAAACTTAGGTACTTTCCAGAAATTCAATTAGCCCTGTCAAGTTCCAGTATCAAGAGAAGAGTTATTGAAATGTAATATAACTTCTTTCTAATCCAAGTCACTGACCTCACTTGTCTGTCTTTGCCGCAACATACGACTACATTTCTCTTTTATTTACCTTCAAAAGTTTAAAAGATTGTTTCCTTCGTTGATAACCTTCCTCATGTTCTTCAGATAATGCTTCAGCGTTGTTTTTAAGGAAGGAAAAATAAGATTTAAAAAAAGATATAAGGGAAATTTTTTCTAACTTATTTTTATATTTTTGTTTTGGGATGTCTTAAAAAAATAAGATCCACGGTGGTTGAAGAAGGATTTGCAACTTGTTTCAACAATAGTTTTCTCTCTGTCGGGATTGGGGTTCATAAGTATGTTATAACTGTTTTACATTTGTTAAACGTTGTTTGTTTGTAAAAATAGCGCGTGTACTATTAATAGGACGTAAGATTTAATAAAAATGCTAAATCCAATCTAAAAATTGTTCTCAAATCTTGAAGGAAAAACTCAAAGACATCTTTCAAACTAAAAATCAGTGGTGCAACAGCCCATGAGGACCAGAGCCTACTGTGTCCATACCAGTATACGTGACCATTGGGCGCTGAAGTGCATGATCAGATGTCTCGATCAGTCAGTCAGTCTAAAGCGAGACACTCAGTGTTTAACTCCTCAAGCAAGTTTGATAATCATTTATCGACCCACTGCAGTAGGGATGAAAGGTTGAGTTGGCCTTGCCCAGCCCGGGAATAGAACCTGGACCTGTGGTGTGGAAGCGCGATACGCTACCACTCGACCAATATGCCTCAAAAACGTCTTTAAGGACCTAAAAATATCAATAATGGCGAATGAGAGAGTGTTTATTAACGTTGCACTCCGAAACTAGACTAGTTAACGGGGTAGCCTAGTGGTCAAGGTAACGGACTTCATAAGTTTTATCCTCGGTCAAGTAACGAAAAAGAAGCTATGACCCCCCCCTCCTCTACCAAATTTTCTTCCCGCACTAAAGTGAGGATTTTGGGCTCGACAGATTTAACATGCATCATTCCCTCTACATGACGGTGTGGCCGCGGTAGCCGAGTGGTATAGGTATCGGACCGTGGCTTGCTTTGTCACAGGTTCGAGCCCTGTACCACTAAAGACCCGCCGTGTAGGGCAGCGATGCACGTTAAATCTGTCGAGAGCTGAAACGTACTCCCGTTGGTGTGGTGTGGTAGTTAGGAGAGGGGGGTGCCAGCTCAGGTGTCGTCCACGTCACTTGACCATGGTTCAAAATTACGTGGTCTGTCGCCAAAAGCCCTCGTGTAGCTGAACAGTGCGACGTTAATATTCAATCAATCAATCAATCTACATGACGGTTTTCAGTGACACCGGGACTTGAACCCGTGATTCGACAACACTGGTTACGAATTCGGGACAACGTCAACGCGTAGCAATAATGGTAGTAATTAAAAGGATTAATAATTTGACCTTAGAATATTAGAAACTATCAATCTTAACTTTTAAAACCTTCAAAACAGTTAACAAGTCAGAAGGCACACAAATGAGTTTAATTGTCGAAGGTCCTTAAAGAAGTACAATGTACTTCTCAAACTTTCTATACTTGCAACCCAATTAACAATCATAACTTTCATCATCCCCCGCACACAAAATTACAATGTATTGAATTCAATAATAATATACTTTAACGTAAGGCTACAAATCGACTTTAATTATAAACCGTACAAATTATCAAGATAAGTATCAAATTTTGTACACAATCTTATGACATACCCATAGGGTCACTGGTAATTCTTAAACTTGTGCTTAACTTAGTATAGTTAAATTAATTATGAAACACATTGTACAGTACTAATACATTTATAAGTGTACTATATCAGTGTAAATGTGTATTTTACATTTTTTTTATGTCAAAATGGGTTTTTTTTCGCTTCCTTTCAGTAAATTAATAATTATTTTTCAAAATAATGTTTAAATCTCAACTTTTCAATATACTCCCATCCCCAGGTAAGGTTAACACGCCCCAAAGGGGGCGCGCCCTACAGTTTGAGAAACACTGCAGTACATTGAAAAAGTTTCGGTCCTTGATTTTTGAAAACCTAAAGAATCATCCAAGTAATGAAAAAAAACTTTTTAAAATAGGAAAAGTATGAAAAGCATCTAGTTTTAAAAAATGAATGAAAAATAACTAGCAGAATATATGATACAAAAATAACATAAGAAGTATTTACTTTTCTTAAACTTGTGAACTATAATGAAAGCTTCCTTATACCTTAATAATATTTGCAGTAGAGTTATTAAAATAACACATTGCTAAATTCTTAGTTTTAAGGGGACATGGTACGATTTACACAAATTTTTTTAATTGAATGATTTTCATAATTTTTTCGGTTGCCTCCCATGTGTATGTATGATGTAAAACAGATTTTGAGCTCAAACTTTTATAAAAACCTAACCATTTAATTTTTTAATGGAAAAACTTGAAACTTATGAAGTGATTTTAAAATGCTACTCCTACAAAAATTGGCGTACATATATGAAATTTGATTTACAAGTACGTTTAACTATGTGTAACAAAAGTTGGTATGAGTTTTGTGATAACATGATTGGTGTTCGTACAGTACTTCTTTTTTTTATGAATGCTTTTTAAAAATCCTTAAAAAAATGTGTAAAGTCTAACTTCAATTATTTTTTTAAAAGTCGGTATTCCCTCGATTGAAAAATGCATACGAATTTTTGTTTCGTGTACTATTAGTAACAAGTGAAAAAAATTTCCAGGTATTCAGCACAGTAGAAAAAAAGCCTCAGCATTTTAAATGAAGACAAACTAGTTATTTTATCTTTCTGAGATAAGTCAGCATAAAGTTTTGATTTGCCATTGGAATGTGAATAAAAAAACAAACGTAAAAGCTATTATAACTCAGCGTTTTTTAAACTTAGAACTTTGAAATTTAGTGAGTTCGTAGAAAAGCGTATAAAAATAATTTAGACTAAAGAAATTCTTTGATTTTTTTACTGATTTTTGTCAATTGAATCGTTCTGTGTCCCCTTAAAAAATAATATTTATAAATTAGGTGTTTTGATTCAATTTGATGTATATATCATCCATCTTAAGACGGTTTTCGCCATTTGTACGAGAGCGTAAACTTGACGCGGAGCACATTTTCAGATAGAAAAAAATGCTTCAATTTTTATAAAAATTTGTGACATTGTAACTCATGCATTTGTTTACAGTATAGTGTTTTTAAAGTTTCAAAATATTTCATAAATAATTAGTTTATTTTTCAACTTGTGAAGGGATCACTCATTTAGCATTCCGGTATAGGGGGAAAATGCAAAATACATTTTATAAAAGAAAAAATGTATTAACTCGGATAAAAATGAGTAGTATGATAAAATAAGCGATTCTCTACAGCATAGTGTAGCGAGAATATATAATATTAGTGTTTGAGAACTTTTATATCTGTGTGAGAAAATACTCCCCGAATTCGGCCCTTATTCTTTAACATTAGCCGAAGATAGCCTTAAATAATTATTCACATGATATGTTTTAACAAATATTAGCTTAAAATCATAAATTGAAACATTTTAAAATATTTAACCGTTAAGTGAGAAATTCAAATACAAGGTCTGTTGAAAAAGCATCCGACGTTAAATATTTCCTCGCACAATACAAATTCTGAGCACAGTGGGAGGAGACAGGTTAATGTATATGCTTGATTTTTTTCCCTTCGTTCCGATGTACCGATCGTTTCCAGCAGGCAGTCGAGAGACGTGTTGTGATGCGGATTCGTCGAATTTTAATTTCTCTAAAGATGAGTGAACGACTTGAGCATTGGTACTGCAATAAAGTTTTAGTCAAAACCGGATGTGGTTTTGGATTTGTTTTGAACAATGAAACAATTTGTAAGATTCAGTAAATGTTTGGATATGATGCTATGGGGGTCACACAAATTAAGAAGGGGTTTAACCGATTCAAAAGTAGCCGCCTGTTGGTATAGAGTGACCAACGATCTGGGCGGCCACAATCCGCTCGAAATGCAGCTGTTTTTGATAAGGTGGAAATTCTGATCAGTGCCGGTTTAAGCTCATTTCTGGTCCTGGGTGCAGAAGATCTAGAGCAGCGATACTCGACCTGCGGCCCGTGGGTCGCATGTGGCCCACCAGGCCTTTTTAAGTGGCCCGGTCATGGCCTATTGCTCTAAGAAATTCATTTATTTATGAAAATTTGGTGGGAAATTCTTTGTTAAGAAATCAAATGTATCAATTTTACTTTTTACTGTCGGTTTCGTGTGGGTGCGAATTGATATTTTTTTTCTGATTAGCGATAATGGACAACAGCGGAGTACCGACCATTTTATGTGAGTGGAAGTAATTTTTAACTATCTTTCATATCTTGAAAGCGAAGAATTATTCGAAGAAAATAGGTTGTTTCAA